TCAAAGTATTTGTGTACATAAACACTACGTCTGATGAAGCTAAAACAAAGTCATCAGGTACTGATCGGGTTTTGAGAAAATCTATGAATTCATAAGTATTCTTGACAGTATTCCCACTTTTCCGTACAACTTTCTCCAGAATATTTCAAAAATACTTAGACATATTATAAAACGGACTTTTTAAGGTTCTTACAATTGGTCGAAGCGATATCCCCTCTTTATGAGTTTTAATCAACCCATAAATTCGGCATGGAATTTCGTTCACAATAGTTAAATTTTGTGACGTGGCTTTGCTTCTCAATTTTTCCTCAAACCACTTTTTTACCAACGCATTGTTTTTGTTTTGCAGTGCAAAAGTTAGACATTTGCCTATTTTCCTATAAATTTTGGTATCAGATAATAGTTGTGACATTTTGTTCTTAAAAACAATATCATCCATTATTACAGTTTATTTGATTTATCAGCGCTTAGGACCAACAAGTTTTAATTCTCTTTGAGGAAATTTTTTGTTTTAATCATTTGATCATAAAACATCTTAAAGAACTCCTTTTGATCACGACTTAACTTACTATCTCGGATGAACGTGCATCCTTTATTGAATTTAGATAAAAATGATCCAACAATGTTGCGGGCTTTTTTGGCATTTTCCCCTCCTTAAAGGAGGGGTATCGAAAAGGGCCTTTTTTGGCCCCCTCCTATAATCTAGAAATTTATGCGGGTTTTCCAAGTTGACTCAATGTAGTCTACGGAAATAATCATGATTTAGCCCATAGGCCACCGGATACAAGTTAAACGGTTGCCTAAACATAGGTCTGCAGGCGTATTTTAGCGAAAATTCTTGTTTTTCTATCACTCCGAGGCTTTTTTGACACCGAGCGCATCGTCCAACTAAAACGAGCTATTGATATGTAATTAAAGAGGCTTCAGGACGTATTTTAACCCTGGTTTGGTTTTAGTTAGATGACGCGCTCATAGTTAAAAAAAACTTTGTACAAAAATCGACGTTTAAGGGACATCCGCAAAAATCTTAGGGAAACAAGTCTCTCGAACTGTATGCACGCTACGTATATTATCGAGGGCAGTTATTAAGGCGTGTTAGACTCTTACAAGGAGATTTTCTTCAATTATGTCCAGAAAAAATTGAATATTCCAAACAGCTATGAACATAACGGATTTTGGAGTAGTGGAGGCATATTTTCACTATTAGCATAACATCAACTTAAATCTGGAAATTTATGCGAGTTTCCCGAGTTGACTTTATGTGCTTTACGGAAATAATCATGATTTAGCCCATAGACCATCGGATACGTGTTAAACGGTTGCCTAAACATAGGTCTGCAGGCGTATTTTAGCGAAAATTCGTGTTTTTCTATACCTCCGAGGCTTTTTTGACACCGAGCGTATCGTCTAACTAAAACGAGCTTTGATATATTATTAAGGAAGCTTTAGGACACATTTTAACCCTGGTTTGGTTTTAGTTAGATGATGCGCTCATAGTCAAAAAAAAACTTTTTCGAAAGCTGACGTTTAAACAACATCTGCAAAAATCTTAGGGAACATGTTTTTCCAACTGTATGCACGCTACGTATATTATCGAGGGTAGTTATCAAGCCTTGTTAAACCCTTACAAGGAGATTTTCTTTAATTGTAGCCAAAAAAAACCTAAGGACGTAATTCCCTAAGATTTTTGCGAATGTGTCCTAAACGTCGACTTTCGAAAAAGTTTTATTTTACTATGAGCGTATCATCTAACTAAAACCAAACCAGGGTTACAATGTGTCCTAAAGCTTCCTTAATAATATACCAAAAGCTCGTTTTAGGCAGACGATGCGCTCGGTGTCAAAAAAGCCTCGGAGTGATAGAAAAACACGAATTTTCGCTAAAATACGCCTGTAGACCTATGTTTAGGCAACCGTTTAACACGTATCCAGTGGCCTATAGGTTAAATCATGATTGTTTCCGTAAACTACATTGAGTCAACTTGGAAAACCCGCATAAATTTCCAGATTCTAGGAGGGCCCATGATGCCTGGAGCTAGCCATGCGCCTGCCAGATGCTAGGAGAAAAAAGGCCCCTATCGATACCCCTCCTTTGACCTTTGCTTCTATACGAGCAAAAGTTTCCATGGTAAACTCGTCCTTCCTCGTTTTTTCATAATAGGGAACGCAAAATTTTCTACCAAGTGATAGTACACTTAGGACTTTCTCTGGGAGTTCAACATCGCTTAAAGGACTACGTGCAAAACGGGCCATTTGGGGCTCGGGGCCGATACCTTTGAGACTTGCCCTATTCATTCACCTAACAATGCCCCATCTTTTCCCAAAGTTTCAAGCCCCTCAAAAATTTTGGGGAGACGCGGCGTGGGGTCAAAGTTAAAAACCGGCAAAATTTTCGCGTATTTATTACTCGAAAACCAAGAAATTTTGGAGAACGCGATTTAAACGAGCGTATTCAGCGTGACGACAGCTTTCAGAAAATGTATAACATCGTAGGGTTTTGTCAACTTCAGCTCGAGTTATCGCCTCCGAAGCGCCGGAACGCTCAAAAAAGACCCCTTATTTTTTCACGTTTGGACCGATTTAAAAGAAAGCCATTTTTTTATTTACATGATAAAAAACTGATATGTTGTTCCTGACTCTCTGTAGCCCCTCTAGCTCTTTACCGCATGCTGGGGAAATGTTTTGGTCGCGAGTTATAAGAGCGGAAAGGAGCGAAGGTCGGGAAAATCGGCTATTTTAAACTGCGCGCGCGGCGTTGATCGGAGGGAAAACGTCCCCTCCCACTCAGTTCGGCGAATCACACTCCTCTGCTGACCTCGCATTGTTGCCACATGTCTCCTGATCCGTCGCCGCGCGCCGTTTAAAATAGCCGATTTTCCCGACCTTCGCTCCTTTCCGCTTTTATAACTCGCGATCAAAACATTTCCTCAACATGCGGTAAAGAGCTAGAGGGGCTACAGAGAGTCAGGAACAACATATCAGTTTTTCATCAAAATAAAAAAATGGTTTTTTTTTAAATCGGTCCAAACGTGAAAAAATAAGGGGTCTTTTTTGAGTGTTCCGGTGCTTCAGAGACGATAACTCGAGCTGAAGTTGACAAAAACTTATGATGTTATACATTTTCTGAAAGCTCTCGTCACGCTATTTACGCTCGTTTAAACCGCGTTTTCCAAAACTTCTTGGTTTTCGAGTATTAAATTCGCGAAAATTTTGGCGGTTTTTAACTTTGACCCCCCGCCGCGTCTCCTCAAAATTTTTGGGGGGCTTGAAACTTTGGGAAAAGATGGAGTATTGTTAGGTGAATGAATAGGGCAAGTCTCAAAGGTATCCTCCCCGAGCCCCAAATGGCCCGTTTTGCACGTAGTCCTTTAGTATCCAATCAAACCTTTTTGCAAAGAATGACCGAAATCTATTTTCGGAAGCTGTGGGGCGATTATTGAAATTTCTTGTTTGTCGGATCGACATAGATGACATAGGTTAAATCGCGGAGCGTGATTGGTTGGCTATGTCTTATATCGCTGCTTTATCGTGCCTTTGTCAGGTGGAATGATCGACATACTGTCGGAAACTTAAGAGGTGCCGTTAGCTTGTCGATCATTCCACCTGACAAAGGTACGACAAAGCAGCGATAAGACATAGCCGACCAATCACGCTCCGCCTTTTAACCTATGTCATCTATGTCGATCCGACAAACAAAACATTTCAATAATCAGGCTGCAGTCTTATTTCTATTGATGACGCTATTGATTTTCTCTGTTTGCGCTTGTTTGGTTTTCATAAAAACTTTTACATTGCGTTGCGATTCAAAGTTAAAAAAAAAGGCTTACCGTTTCCTTTGAAGATGACGCTTCTGCCTTCTTCTTTGCACTTTGGAGCTGCTTACTGTCTTAATCCCTAGTTTCTTGAACTTTAAAATTAACATGGAATTGTCACAACAAAGGAACAAAAACAAACTTCAAACATTAGTGCCGTAGTTCCAGCATCGGATATTGAAAATCGCCATTTAGGATGCGTGCCAAGAAGAAAAAATTGTATACATATAGATACAGAGTGTTAGAAAAGTCCCCTTCCCCCATCTAACTTTTTACCTAATTGAGATGGAGATTTGAAACTTGGAGGATGTTCCTAGGTCCAAGGGAGCTACTTTTTGGCCCCCCTTTGGGGGGTAGTGGACCCCAACTTTTTTTTTCAAATCGGAAGACCCCCTTTGTGATGTCTCGTTCGAAAGAGCATAAAAAAAGATATTTTTTCGCGCAAACTCGAAGTCATTATCTTAAGCCGTTTCAAAATGGCGTCCGGTTAAAGTTCAAATGGCCGAAAATTGGCATCTCTGCTATTTGCTCATGGATTTGTTTGAAACTCGGTATTTGGGGGTATTTTTGAACGAGAAAAACGAATTTGACGTTAGATTTTTTAAAAAACCCAAATTTTTCAAAATGCAATGTTAATAATTTTGCAGTGTTTTTGGTCTAACAAATCAATTACTTAACTTCCTTTTGTCAGGATAATGGTCATTATTTTATGTTTCAACAAAGCCCTCTCAATTGGACTGAGTTCATCAGAAAGGAACCAACTCACATTAAGTTGGAGCTGAGACAAAGAGGTTTGAGATTTTATTCCTGCTGAAGGCTCAATGCATAAAATAAGGTTTAACCTCTCTTTTCATAAATTAATTTCTGTTATTCGACTTTCAATTTTTGGCAGAAGAAATTATTCGGCTAGTGGAACTCAAAAACATTCTTAACTCAATTTTTTCGGAAATGTGGGCTAGTTCCTTTCTGATAAACTCCGTCCGATTTTAATCAAACTTTAGGTGTCCAAGTGGATCAGTATGCACTTAGATGTGTTTTTTGCAGCTCAGAGTAGACATCTTATTCACTTGAAAAATCATCTGAAGTTCAAACATTTCTTTGAATAGATTCCATTTGCAAATTGTTTTACACATCTCTTTTCCATTTTATACCTAACGTACCATGATTTAGTAACGTCGTTCTTTTACAGGTGGTTCTTAAGTAAAGACTCATTGCAGCTTACTGTAAAAAATGATGCAATCACGCTCCAAGACTCTTTTAAACTTGCTGGATACCAAGTTTCTGGGAGAGTTATAAGCGATGGCGAGGAAATGGGAGATGTGAGCTTTGTTTTGCTATCATCTAAAAAGGTTTGGCAAGTTTCTTCCATATTTTATGACTTCTAACAATCGAGTGGTTTGAAAGTTATTCTCTAGTTAAAACAAGTAACTTCATCAGTATTCCTCAAATATCCATACAACTCTGTTCAGCCTGAGACTGCATATGATTTTCTTCGATAGCTCATGAAGGCACGCATTACGTCAAGTGTCGGGAGGCCGAATTGATTCATCGCGGACACTGGCTTCAAATCTGAATGGGATTCCCCTTTTTTTTGTTCTGCAATCACAACCCAGGTAGATGGATGCGATGGGCCAGCAATGCGGTTTAAGTCTTGACATTTGAGGGATCAATCCGGGAGTGATAATTAGATCCTGAGTTAAATACCATTACCTGGCAATGATATAGAAATCCATGCGGTCGGTAGCACTCCCCAATGTTCGCTAATGAAATCCAGTGTTTTGAGTCAACTAGCCGGCCCTGGCAAGTTCTTTCAAAATATACATTTTTGAATTTGCCGCGTAAATCAGACTACCGCTACCTTGCTGCGCGGCGCTTCCATCCCTATTGCGTTATCTTTTCTAATTATCATTACAATCCATCTCTTTTTCTCCTTCTTCTTCTTCTTCCTCCTCCTCTTCTTCTTCTCAAATGATCTTCGCATCGACATCAAATCAGTGCCAACTGTTTAAAGAACTCGGAAACTCATAAATTTTAAACAGACAATTTCAAGAAAAATTGTTTAAAAGTAGTTTTTATAAAGCCCCCTTTAGTGCGCAGGTTTAAAATATAATATCAATAATTGAAATAACATCAGTAAAGAAATTGAAACATTTGAATTTACTGTAAGTTTTTACGACTTAATCTTCTCAAAGAAATTAAAAGAAAAAAACATAATAATGCTTCACACACGAGGCTTCTTTTTCAAAAATCTGTTATGTAAGTATCTTGAAACACTTTTCATTTAAAAGATATACCAAAAGGGTTATTCTAATTATTACTTCTTGACGAATTTTTCAAGAGTTTGTGAAAAGTGCTCTACGTATTCACATTTGCTTTCACTCCGTCAAATCATCTTCACAGTGTTGCTTATGCTTTTGATGGTAGAACCCTCCTCTCTACCCTGACTGCGGTTCCGGAATTATTGGTCTTAATTTATTGGGAAGAAAAGTCTCACCAATATTCCTTGGGAAAAATTTGATAGAGCCAAGGAAAAACAACATTTCTTGTTTTGGTTTGTGTTTCTTCTTTCTCCCGACATTTAGATTCATACATATGAAACAATATTTTCATTGCGAGCATAGAAATTTAAAGTTTTCTTTTACAATGAAGTGCGCGGAGGAATAAAACCTTACACCTCCATCACTTGATCATCTTTTGTGTTTTTGGTTTCCTTCTTGCCAATTCTCAATACGCTCCTTGTCACTGTTACCACTGTTTTCTGGTTACCTCCAGTTTTAATGATACCCATTATACCCCTATTCTCCTTAATATATTAAGTACCTTCCCTGAGATTTCAGCCTCTTCTGAAAATGATGATTCATTGGAGCCTTTGAGTTAATAGATCACGATACTGCTTTTCAAAGTACCTACAGATGCGGTAATTAATTTTTGTCAAAGTGATGGGCCGTTGATAGAATACGTAACGATCTAGAAAGGAGGGGGCTGAGCTGTGCCGTGTTAGCGAAGAGGGCAGTAAGTGCCAAAATTAAGTGTGCCACTGCGAAAATCGCCTAGCACGTTTCTTCCGTCCAACTTGGCGACAACGCCAGACAAGCGCTCCGAGAGAGCATTGTCGCGCGATCTAGCGGTTTTTTCGGGCAACTCGGGCTGCTCCCCTCAAACGCGCAGGTGCGAAGTGACGTCGGTTCATCCCGTCGGCCGTGCCGGCCGGTTTACTAACCGAGTGACCTCCATTCGCATTTTTCCCTTTCGCTGGGTGTTTTGTTTTTCTCCAAGTTTTGATATCCTTTTCCTGGCAATGGAGACTTGAAGCAGCTTAGAAGAAACTGAGTTTATCCAAACCAATCTGTCTGTCTCGTTGAGCAGCCTGGCTGAATTCACCACCGTTCCTCCCAACTGAAAAGTTGGGTTCAAGTTTCCACTTGGAAACTGTAGTTACAGCTTGGAAGCCCAGACTTTTTCTAGCATGTGCTGATCTAAGAGATTTGTTGCTGATCGTTCAGAGCCTTTTGTAGAACCCGGACCGTCACCACCTGCAAGTTTTCATGTGTCACTTTCTCTGTCCAGCGATGCTAATTATTCTGTGAGACCGTTTTATTTGTATTTAATTCCCTCTGGAATTTCTTGCTAGGTAGTGACACCTTTAATCGCCATACCCTTAGGTTCCTGGCTTTTTCGAGTTCTTTTGTTTGTTTGGCTCTGCTCTCCACCCAGCGAATTTGAATTTATCTTTATTGATGCCCTAGAGGCTATGAGCGTTTGTTTTAATGGCCGTTGAGTTCCCGGCCGACCTTCTCACTAATTTTGCGGCCCTCTTTTAGTCCAATATGTAACTCTTCTAAAGTATAGAAACTCCAGTTAGGCTATTTGTGTTGTTTTTGCGTTATCACTTCCTGATAACGCAGCGACAAAACAGATCGTCTATCTGCTAACCTCCCCTTTATTTCTGTCTAGTTTTATTTCGTACCTGAACCGATATGGCCATGTGTTTTCTGTGATTGCTGTGATTTATAAGACTGAATATATATTGTATCATTGTTACTATAGAATCATTATCGTGCGCTCACCTACCTGCCCTGATTATTAGAGATTTATTTTAGTGGCCTTTCTCTCTCTCTCTCTCTCTCTCTCTCTCTCTCTCTCTCTCTCTCTCTCTCTCTCTCCCTCCCTCCCTCCCTCTCTCCCTCTCTCTCTCTCTCTCTCTCTCTTTTGGTATTCTCACGCTTCCCGTGCTTTTAGAGAGAGTGTCTAGGCCAAATGGTAGCAGAGCTTGGGTTATTTTTCCCACAATCCCCTTTTGAATTTGAGTACACATTGAGTCTTTGAGTCAATGAGTCTTGTTAGGTAGAGCAGACTCGATTGAATTTTTAATATTTTATGTGCGTTTCATGTGTATGTTTCAGGTCGTCAATGCCATGTGCGTAAGTTGTTAGGGTATTTTGTGTGTGTATGTGTGATATCTTGTGGCTCTGAATTTTCAGATCTCTTGTGTTAATTTCATATTGTGTAATGATATGTTTTGGTTATAAGCCTGTTGCAAACTTTTGCTCTAGCAAAAATAAGAGTTGTTTCCTATAGATAATGCCTCAAAAATGCCGATGCGCATCGGCAAAGTCTGAAATGTACTCATAACTTCACAATCTGCGTAAGAAATTTGCGTTTTTTTGAGTTTCCCAATCCCAAAACGATACTACGGCACAGGTGAACATTCTGTTAGAGGAGTCGTTCCATCGTCGGCAATATTCATCATGGCCGACGCATCCGCAGTTCCGCGCGTAATTCGAGGAGAGTTCAAGGTCAATCAAGGCGGGCGAGGAAAATATGAACGTAAACACGCCGATTGTTATCTGGTCTAATCCTGATCAGGTGTTATCTCGTCCCGTTACACGTGTCTTGGCGGATTGGCGTCAGCCATGATGAATATTGCCGACGATGGAACGACTCCTCTAACAAAATGTTCACCTATGCCGTAGTATCGTTTTTGAAGCGGGAAGCTCAAAAAACCGCATTTCTTACGCAGACTGTGAAGTTATGAGTGCATTTCAGACTTTGCCTTTGCGCTCATCGTGATTTTTGAGGCATTATCTATAAGAAACAACTCTTAGTTTTGCTCTAGCAGATGTTTGCAACAGGCCCATTGAGTACCATCATATCTGATCGAGGCTGAACGTCCCAAGTAGCATTTTGCAACGAAAAAATTGCAATTTAAATGAAATAGAATTTCCAGACGATTTCAACTTTCTTGCAAGAAAATTGCAATTATTTTACAACATCTGACCCCCTCATCGTAAAAAAGTTGCAATTTTTTTTTTTTGCAAAGAAATTTCAATATTGACGACCTTTAAATTTCAACCCCTAAATTTTCCGGGGAAATTAGAATAATTCGAACCCATACTTACCTAATGTCCTACGACGTTTAGCAGCATAAAATACCGGACGCCCTTGAGTGGGCTTGAACCCGACCCGCGACTGTCATAGGGGAGCACTCTTCCACTGAGCCACAGGGAGCTGATGGTGGGTGAAGTTGAAATCACGCCTGTTAAGGCTGTTATAGTATGCATTGCGTCAGTGCGCGGCTCAACTTTCATCATAGATTTGATTAACGCCGTTTTTCTCAGGCTTCTTTCTTTTGCCTATTATTTATTTTTTTTCGTGTTATTTTTTTTTCATATTTTTTTTGTCTGATTTTTTTTTTTCGATATCACGTAATAGGTACTTACACTAAATTTACACCGGTGTAAATTACACCACATACTAACTTGAGAACTTAAAAATATTTTCAAAAAATATTTTTAAAATATTTTCAAAACTTTCTTAAGGAATATTTTTAACATGCATGTTTACAGGCAATATTTTTGAATTATTTTAAAAATATTTTTTGTAAACATTTTCAAAATATTCCCTTAAAATGTTTTAAAAACATTTTCAAAATATTTTGAAAATATTTTAATTACAATATTGTCATGAAAATATTTTGATAAAGGTGACAATATTTTCAAAATATGTTGGGCTATATGGGTTAGGTGAGACATTTAAGTCGAAAAAACTTTAAAACAACTAGAAAATTGGATGCCAGGCATATGGCGTGAATTTGTTTCAACATGATCGCACCGAAATTGCAATCTCTATAGTGCCTTGAAAAAGAAGGTTAGACAACAAGCATAACCTACATTTCTTGCAAGTTCATTCCAATAAAATTGCAACTTTTTCAGCGCCTATAAATGAATGTATAGGCAACAAGCAAAAATTGCAATCAACTCACAATCCATTGCAATGAAATTGCAATTTATGCTTCTTGGGGTGCGGATGCCTTTCCGTGGAAAGATTTTTTTTATTATTATTGTCCTAC